CTTGGCTAACAGACAAAATAGATGACCCTTGTGTCTTTGAATCAGTGGCTCAGTGTGGGTTAACTTGCTGGAGGTCATGCATCCTGCCTCCCAGCTCTAACTGCTGTGGCTCTCTGGTGTTGAACTTCTTCTGTGGCCTGATTCCTGCCTGGGTCACTGGGTAACTCTGTGACAGATGTGCTTGCGTGCCAGGTGCTAGCTCTCAGCCCTCTTAACTGTAGCTTTTGTGTGCAGGCTCGTGAGGCAGTGGAGATGCGTGCCCAGGTGGAGAGGAAGATGGCTCAGAAAGAAAAGGAGAAACATGAGGAGAAGCTCCGAGAAATGGCTCAGAAAGCCAGGGAGAGAAGAGCAGGGATCAAAACCCATGTTGAAAAAGGTACATAGCTTTAAGATGCTCTGGGGTGTTTTTTAGCACTCTTTGAAATCTGTGTTTGAAGAAATAACCTGAGAACTTATATGCCTGTCTATCAGCTTATATATCCCTATACTGAGAACTTATAATACCTAAATACCAACTGTAATTTCTGAGCATGACATCTGTTCTTCACTGTCTGATCAAGTAAAGACATGAATTTCGTGGGATCTGGATTTGAACCTCACAGCAGTATGACTGTGCATACAAGGTTTAGGACATCTGTTGATTATTTCAGGAGTTGTTAATGGATCTGTGCACGTAATGGCTTTTGTAGGCTCTTCTAAACTAATTCTGAGAAAAGGCTTGTTGCAGATGAAACAGCAACTTTACAAGAACTGATCTATTTTTAAGCTTTCAAACATGGTAAATGCCATATTCTGTCTCTTGCATTGTTACTGCGGGTTTTGCAGAACCATAGTTCTGTAGGCCCCAAAATTGCTCACCTAAGTAAATCATAACCATTGTGATAAAGCTTGTTTCGATTGCAGTGACACCTCAGAGATCAAGATGCTGAACTTACAGAGCAGTTAGATCTGTCTAAAATGTGGAGGATATGGTCTTGTAATACCAAATCCTGCAGCTGGGATTGACTGACCTCTTCCCAGCAGGCTAGGAACTGGCTGTGTTCTGAGCCCCTCTGTTGAGAGGGACCTGGGAGTCCTAGTGGACAATATACTAAGTGTGAGCCAGCAGTGAGCCCTGGCAGCAGTAATGCTGAGGGCATACGAAGTTTTATCTGCAGCAGCATAACTAAGTGGTCAGGGGAAGTAATTCCTTTTACTGGTGACTTGTTAAACTTAATGTGGAATACTGTGTGTAGTTACGGGCCCTCGGGTACAAGACATTGATCAAAGTTCAGTGGAGGGCCATCAGAATGGTCAGGGGGCTGGAGTATCTGTGTGTTGGGAGATGCCAAGAGAATGAAGCTTGTTCTGCCGAGAGAAGATGTGGCACTCGGGGCACCTAATGAGAGCTTTCCCATATCTAAAAAAGACCATGAGAGCTCTTCAATAAGCTGCACAGTGGAAAAAAGTTGAACCAGGAGATTCCACCTATGTTTGAAGCGAAGAATTTTCACTGGGAGGACAAGCAGCAGTGGGACAGGTTGCCCAGGGAGGCTGGCCATCTCTGTCGGGGGTGTTCTCCACCTGAGTGGCCAAATCCCTGAGCAGCCTGGTTTGAATTCAGCATTGATCCCATTTACAGCAGGAGGCTGACCCAGAGACTCCCAGCCAACCGGAATGATTCTGTGATACCGAGTCACAGAATGTTCTTCAAAGCACTTAAATGCCTGTGTGTTTGAATGATATTTTTACACTTAAAAGCATGATATGATGATCTGTAGGTGTTGTGGTATATTAATTCGTAGATGGAGAGGTATTTTCTCAGCTTTCAGGGATTTAGAATATAGTTGCTGTGCTTGTCTGCTTTAACTCTCTTGTCAAGGACAGTTAATTTCTTGTGGCATAAGAAAACTGTGGTATTCCATGTGTTCAGTTTGTTTGCAGTTTAACATTTTAAATAGGGCTAGGAGTGGCTTCTATTCTGTAAAAGAATACTGAATTCAATCACTGTGCCAATGGCTGTGGCATAGTTAATTCAAACTTCAAATATTTGTCTATAATGATCAATCTCAAATTTGTTCAGAGGATGGAGAAGTCAGAGAAAGAGATGAAATCAGACATGAACGGCGCAAAGAGCGACAGCATGACAGAAATCTGTCCAGGGCAGCCCCTGACAAAAGGTGAGTCACAAAACCCACTTTATTCCTGCACTGGCACCAGCTTCCCCACTAGGGAAACTGTTACACAGGGCTTCCTTTTGCTTGATGTTGGTGCCTGAATATTAGAATTTTCCAGATCAATGGGGGATGGGGGGAGGTGTGTGGTTAGTTTGGGGTGGGTTTTTATTTAGCAGAACATGAGTATATTAAGATTCAATTAACATGTCGATGTCAGCGGTTGAAACCTGGACCTTCGACCTTCAGTATGAGCAGAGTATCATTAGCAGCTCTGTTTCTTGAAGCTGTTCACTTGAAGTAAGCTTAGATTTATCAGTGCAGTAGGCTGGACTACCTTGTTTGCCCAAGCCAGCGAGATTTCTGAGCACAAATAATTTCTGGAGTCTTAAAATCTCTAGTATCTTAGAAGTAGATTGTTCGGCCTTCCCAGAACATAATTACACTGGTTTAAATATAATTACACTGGTGCAAAAAATAAATACGACATTTTAGAGCAAGTCAGCTTGATGTAGATTGCAGATAGTGGAAAGCAAATTTAAATGTCATGCCCAGCTGTACATAACTTTCCCAAAGGTTTCCTTTGCCAGGACACAAATTTTAAATGTTACCTAGTAAGGAAGGGCAACAGTCAAAGTCTGGCTCCTGAGGCAAATTGTTAGTAACTATTACAGGTTCAAGTTGCTATTGAGCATGTCAACAAAGAACAGTTTACTGAACTAATAAAACTAAAAATTCTGAATTCAGGTCAAAGCTGCAGAGAAACGAGAACAGAGATATCAGTGAAGTTATTGCCCTAGGGGTACCCAACCCCAGGCCATCCAATGAAATCCAATACGACCAGAGGCTGTTCAACCAGAGCAAGGTAAAAATGCCTTTTCACAGCTGCGTAACTCTCTGCAAGAACACTTCCTTTGTGGGTATGGCTAGAATACTAAAGGGACCCTGCTCTCATGGCTGGTGTGGATATACTCTCAAATAAGTCCCTGCATAACTATTGGTCTCCTTTAGCCATAGCTGATGCAATAAAAATGGAATATTCTGAATGTGTAACTGGATTAAAGTTGTTGTGGTGGTTTTTCTCAAGGGGGCATAAGAAGCTATTTTGCCTTCAAGCTGTAATGACCTCATTTTCTTCTTTTGTACAAATGTACTGACTGAATAAGGGAAATCTGTTCTGAGAGAAGCAAGTAAATACATTCTCTTCCCATTATTGCTTATGTTAAAATCCTTCTGCAGCTATAAATAGTTAACAGCAACACTTCTTTTCCCTGAACTTTACACTATTCATAGATGAAAAAGTAGATTAGGCTTCAAAAAGTCCCTGAATAGACCTGCACTTGTCAATCATTCTTTTTCACGTCTCCAGTGGAGGACTTGCAGGCAGAAGGGAAAGCTGATGAATGAAAAGTGAACAAGCAGGCACTTCTGCTTTCAGAGTTTACATAAGCCTCTGTGTGATTTGGATCAGTCAGCTTAAATCTTGTCTTCCGGAGATTCTGAATAATATACATTTCTGTATGGTTGTACTTGGCTATTACAGACAGCTGCACTTGCAGGGCAGACTAAAACCATGCAATATTCTGGAAGAGGAATGGCCTGTAATCCTCCCTGTAGCTTTCTGGAAGAGTAGAAGTGGCCCTGACAGAGGCTTGTATGATTGTGTCATGCTCTCTAGACTTAATCCCAGACCCAAAACCACTTGCATCTTAAAAGTGCTTGAACTCACTTGAAGATAGTAAACCACACAGTACCATCTCTGTGTATGTGTGACACCATCCTGATGTTGAAATGAATTCGCTGAAGTTTTGCAGCCTCATTTGTGTTACACTGCTGTTCTTCTTTGCAGGGTATGGACAGTGGCTTTGCTGGAGGGGAGGATGAAATCTATAATGTTTATGACCAGCCTTGGAGAAGTGGCAAGGATATGGCCCAAAACATCTACAGGCCAAGCAAAAATGTGGATAAGGACATGTACGGTGATGATCTAGAGGCTCGAATAAAGACCAATAGGTAAGAAAAGTTAATAAATACTCTGAGAATTTGTACTCTGAAGTTGGAGTCAATTGAGCATTGTCTCTTCTCCTGCAGGTTTGTTCCTGACAAGGAGTTTTCTAACTCTGATCGTAACACCAGAGGGAGGGGCAGAGATGGACCAGTTCAATTTGAGGAGGATCCATTTGGTTTGGACAAGTTTCTGGAAGAAGCTAAGCAACACGGTGGTTCCAAACGGCCATCGGATAGCAGCCGCCCTAAAGAGCATGAGCATGAGAGCAAGAAGAGGAGGAAGGACTGAATGTCTCTGCTCCCAGAGAGGTAGAGAAACGGACTGCAAGCTTGGACTTCATGCAAAAGGCATTTTTAACACCAGAGGTGTATAGGAGGCTGGCAGTGTAGCACAGCAGTTCACAACTCTTTGTCGTGTGGAGACATACATACACAGATTAATTCTTCTGCCTAGGACAGCTACCCCTGAAGAGTGGAGGAATGGAGACCTTTTTGAAACAGTACACAAGGGAATTGTTCTTCAGCAAGTGCTCTACTTTGCTGAGTCCCTGTTGCCCAGCATCTCAGGGTAAGAATGTAGCCCCTTCCTACAGCTTTAGTTTTTCTAGGTAGCTTTTCTTCCTCTGTTAAAAGGTTTCCTGCTGTATATAATTGCTGTCTTGTGCTGTAATGGATGCTAGGGAGCTTACGATTCACTGTTCCTTTAGTGTGGCTATCCAGTTTATTTGAACAAGGAGGGGAAACAGCTGGATTCTGTTTTAAAACAGGTACACATTCATAGTTTATCAGTAACCTTTATTTTAGTTTTACATTCAGTGAAATAAAGCCTCCTTCCACTGTTCACTCGCTTGGATTCTTTCTTTGACTGCGTCTTCTACGGGTCTGCTGTTTGAGAGCAAGCTGAAAACAGTGGAAATCATTCAGATGAGTTAGGCAAGAAGGTTTGACATTTTTAATTTCTGATCTTCTAAAGCATTCACGGGTCAAGTGGAAGATGAGTTTATAACCGGTTCAGTTTCATGAGCCATAACCACAACTGCTAAGCTCCTGACTTGAAAGCTGACTACAATTTGCAGATCAATTACAAGTTGTATCAGCAAAACGAATCTGCAAAGCTTGTGCTTTCAAGTAAAAGTAATAGAAGTTAACTGTCTAAAACTACCCTAGAACAAAGTGGGAGAATTGCTCCTGTATTTTGCTTATGCCTTCTCCTTTTTATTTCACCATAAAGGTAGGTGGCTGTTAGCTCTTGCACCTCTTGTGAGAGTGTAGTCCTCGGAGCCTGGGCAGTTCTGTGAATGTGGCCATATTACAGCTTCAAGAATAAAAAGCAAAATAATTTTCATTAAATTGACACTAAATGCTCATCTATGCTATTCCTAGTATTTACTTTGGTAATAGCATAACATCCTAGTTGCTTTTGGCACAGTTTGAGGGATCAGCCTATTGCCTGGCTTGTCACAGTTTATGACTGAAGTTGGCAAACCACTCCTTAATTTCTGATTCCATTTTTGTACCAGTTTTAACTCACAGCTCAGCTCTTAGGAACAGGTACTGAAGTAATCACAACCAATGAATATCCTGCAGGAGTATGAACCATGTCAAGTGAAACACTATTGTAAACATGCGTCATTGCTCAGGTCTCTCACCCATCCATTTTACTCTTAATGTCTCCCTAGCATGGAAAATCACAAAGTTAGAAACTATTTGTCAGAAGGATATTGAAGAATTTTTACTAATTATTCAAAGACATGAACTGATCGTGTTTTGTTACACCAGCCTATGTTGCCTATGGTTTCACTCTGTACATGGTCTGAGTAGCTAGGTCAGCTGAAGCACACCTAAGTCTACAAGAAAACACCCTTAGTAATTTGCCCCTATATTTATGATTTAAAAAAAAAAATAAAACCCCACAAAGTAGCAAAATGCTTTATCACACTTAGAACAAGTATGGCAATACTTTGATGTTACTGTGCCCAACCAAAGGCAGAATTAAAGAGCTCAATTTCTTACATCAGTAGAGAAATTAGCACATTACCTTGGCACCTTCAAGTACGTGGGCATCCTTCTGAAACACATTCTGCACGTCTTCTGGAGCTGAGAATTTAATCCAGCCGTAACGTCTGTGAAAACCTGTATCTTTGTCCTAGTTACCAGTTTAAAAAAAATAAAATCCTGTTATTGTAGAAAATACACAGACTATTAAAAACCTTCTATGGATATTTGATTTAAGGACTCAGAAATTACCAGAGAAATTGACACACTTGCTGAAAGCCTTTTTCACACTTACTTAAAAGACAGGTGCTCTCATCCAGAACATGCAGGGGCCTAGCAGAGGCTATTCTGCACCCCTTTCTCTCAGTTTGAGTCCAATCATAAAAAACTTTAAGATTTAAAATTACAGTTGAAGACTGGAATAATGCAGATCCAGCTGTTTCAAACCGCAGCAGTTATCTGCTATTAAGCCTGTCACAACAGAACTGACATTTAAATGGCCGCATGATTTGAAAATAAGCCTGCCACAGTACTTGAAAAGCATAAAGCAAGATAAACCAGCCACACAGGATCCTAAAGACAACAGCTACCAGTCGAGATGACAAGCACTAACTGCACTGAAAAGAAAAAAAAAGTTTTAAGAATTTGCCAGTCAAAAAAGACAGTTGTCAATAAAGAGGAGACAATGCAGAAAAGCCAGGTCTATCAAAGTCCCTTTCATCACAACGTTGATCCCTATCAGAGCTGACAACAGCTCTGCCGCTCTGATCATCAGGCATGAGCGGCAGCACCTCCAAACACGGATGGAGTTTCCACCCACACGGTACTGCAGTCACACTGCCTGTGTTTCTGTATTCCACTGATGCCTTAATGAAGATGTCTTATGCTGCTGGCAGATTTTTGTACCTTGTGAAGTTTTAAGTGTTAATGAACACTCTAAAAGTAATTACTGAATCAAAATATACACGCATGCATCAGCTCAGCTTTAATCAGTGATGGAGGCAGGTTTATGGTAAGCTGCCAGCCTTCGCAGTGAAGCAACACTTTCTGTCTTGGGCCTGAGGAATAAAGCATGGCAGGCAGGCAGGCAGACACACATACCCCTCAGCTTCAATGCTCAGAAAAAAACAGACTGCATCAAACTATCCATCTCCACTTCCAAACTAGTCCTTAACTGATAGTGAACCCGTGAGTTCACTGACTGAAGTTCACTACACACTGAGCTTAATTTAACAGACCATTACTCCACGTGGAGAAACACAAGCAGGCAGAACCTCTACTACAGAAATGGCCTACAACTTACCCATGACACAGTGGGAAAGGAACACTTTTTTTGACTGCCCATCTCTAAGAAACTGCACTAGATACTATTATTGCTGGCCTCCATGCTCAGAAGATGAATATCCTAAGGAGCAGAGGCATGAGCAGCTAAAAGCTTGGAGCACTCTGGAGAGGCTGCGGTTTTTGTGTGAGCCCCACACCCCAGACAGGCTATGAAAACAAGAAGGAAAAGATGATAGGTTCACACCCACAGCTTTAGATTTTTTTAGCGAGCGAGACTAGGCACGTAAACACCTTATTCTTTGTCAGAAGATAACACAACGATAATGAAACTCAAAGCACTTTTCAGTTAATTATCCAGAAGTGACAGCATGAATGTGCTTTTTAATGTTCTTTCAAAGATGATGGAAGCCAACAAGCTTCAAGGAGGCCTACAGCGTGCAGGTAAGTAGTGGCACCCACTGGGACAAGGAACTAAGGGTGGAGAGGAAGGAAATCTGACTAGATTATAAGAGGGTTCCAGAAAGGAGGTCCGCGGGCGCAGGGGAGCCGGCTTCTGGGCAGGGCCAGCCCCACCGGGGCCCAACGAGTACCGGCCAGCGCCTCTTCACCGTTCTACCGAGAAGACATGAACAGCGACCTGGAGGATGAGCGGGTACTTACAAACGGCAGCTGGCACCTCTGTACCGACCCGAACTGGGAGAAGTACTCCTTCAGCTCCTCTGTGGGGGAAACGCGCACCTGGTTACGCGTGCCCGGCACGGCCGGGCCCGGCCTCCGCGGGCTGTGCCGGCACACGCGGT